GCCGGTGGCTTCCTGGCTTATGTTTTGGGGCCACTGGATCGGGGGCTCCGGTGGCCACTGCTGGCTCTGGGCGGGTAGGCTTGGAGCTGGCACAGGCACTGTGGCCAGAGTCTACCCCTTTAATGGCTCTGGGGCTGGGGGAGAGGAGAGTTAGTTTTCCTGGCTGTGCCCAGAGTGGCCACCAGGGCTCCCTGGGAAGGGCTGGAGGCCCCCTATTTCGAATTAAGTGTCTACGCAGCACTTAATTCGAAATAGCAATTTCAAATTTGGCATTACTCCTCGTAGAATGAGGTTTACCAAATTTGAATTAAGCGTTCTGCTATTTCGAATTAATTCTGAAATAGCGGTTTCCATGTATAGACGCTATTAAAGTTAATTTGAAATAACGGCTGTTATTTCAAATTAACTTAGCAGTGTAGACATACCCATAGAGAAGAAAACTGTAACAACCTCAACTTTTCCTCCAGAGAAATAATCTTCATCTTTGTCACTGAGACAGATCCTTTGCTTTATCAACCCCAAAACTTATTTCTAATATTCAGGACAGCACACAAAGGCACTCACTGGTTATCAAGGGGTCTCAATCAGTGCTCCCCCAAAGCTGTGTGGCAGCACAGCTTCACAGGTGATTAATCAGTCACGCTCAGTCAGTCAGCTCCCTGAACAGAGCCCTGAGCCCCTGACTGGGCGGGGCTGATTAATCACCTGTGAAGCTGTGCTGCCACATTTTAGAGGGAACACTGGTCTCAATTCAGTTTCCACAAATGCTCATGAAAGTTCTGTACATTGGTTACTTAAGAAAAAGAGGGTTCTTTAGGAAGGTCAGGCTCCACATCCAGGGTCATTGGACTAGGGTGGATCCCAACCTCAAAGTTTTCCTTTTTTGTTTTAGTACTATTTCTTGAAATAAAAAAAAAACATGCTAATTACCTCTATGTTTTTCAAAGGGAACTTGCAATCATCTTACAAGTTCCCAGTAAACGTATGTTGAACTATGAGTTTGTGAATCTGGTTAAACTCAGTAAATGTTAATTTTGAAATCAATGTGCTTCAAATTCTAAAAGTTATCAAAGTAGAATACAGGATATAATAGTATTCCCCAGCATTTCAGATACTTCTGGAAGATCTTCATAAATTTTCAAGTTTTAATCAGAAACTACTGTAAATAATTCAGATTATGCCAAAAAATGTCTTGTCACTTTTCAGATTTCACTAGTATTCCCAAACCAGTATTACATGGACTTGATCCAAAACCCATTGACTTCATTGAGTTTGAATGAGAACTTACATACCTGGAGGATGTTATTTATAAATGGTGGGAAAATGGCACAATCTGAATTGTTTAGTATAAATTCTATATTTCCTGACAGAATGTTTAATATAAATACACTGTGTGATCCCTTTTCCTTTCTGATGGGAAATAAAAATAACATAATAAATAGTATTGTGACGGACCCGGCGGGGTCCGCACTGGCGGTCAGGGGAGAACCCGCCCCGCGGCCGGAAAAACAGCCGCCGCGGCAGGCGAGCACACCAGCGCAGCGGCGCGGGGGTTCGGACGCCCCGCAGCGCCGACCGGGAGCGGGAGGCGGGGCCGAACGCAGGCGGCGGGGAAGTGGCCGGCTCTGCCGCCCCAGCTGACGCTCCAGCGCAAGGTACGGGAGCACGCTGGGGCAGCCACAGGGGTAAGGACGCCAAGGGGGCGGGGCTCACCACCCAGATGTCATCCCCCAGCGACTACAAAGGCCAGGGACGGCCCAGCAGGAGGGGGGGAAGTGCAGCGGCAGGCGCCCTGGCGTCCAGAAGAACCAAAACCCCGACCCCCCGGGCAGCGAGGAGAGACGGGCTCGGCAGCTGGCGGCTCGCCTTGGGACGCGCCTGGCGACTTCGGCGTGGTGAGTGACCCCAGCCTTGCTCCGCTTCCGGGGCAAGTCCGCAGGGAGTGGAAGGAGCCCGTGGGCGGGCGAGTTGAGGGCAACAACCCCGTCCACCGTGGAGGGCGACAGCTAGTCGCTACCCGCCACTTAGGCCCTCGGGCTGGGACCCGGAGGAGAGGGAGGGCCCGGGTCCCCCACTCCTCTTTCCCCGCATCATCCCTATCCACAAGCAACTCCTCGGAATCCTTAAACCTGCGTGGCCAAGACCGCAGGAGGACCTTGGTCCAAGGTCAGGCCCCGCGCCGACACCGCGACCCCCCCTCTCTCCTCAAAGCCGAGGGGGGGGCCAACAAAGGGGTCGCCGAACCCCCTCAGTCTTTAGGGGCTGAGGGGTGATCGCCCCCTCACCCGGACACCCAGCATAGGACCCCAGGTAGGGGCCAAAGAGACAAACCCAGACGGGGGGTTCACAGGGCCCCGCCCCCTCCCCAGACTTGCTCGGGAGCGGACGGGGGAGGGCGCGAGGAGCTCGCACCCGTACAAATCCGTCACAAGTATCAACTAACTTTTATATAGTGTTTTCAGCAGTAGAGCTCAAAGAAAGTATAGGAGGCCTGGGTGATAATCCCAATTCCCAGATGAGGAAATTGAGACACAGAGTGGGAAAGTATCTTACTCAAGGGGCCGCTGATAGAACCAGAAACAGAGCCTAGGTTTCCTCAGTCTGAATCCTGGGCTCTACAAGAGAATACTGCCTCCAATGCTATTGATTTTTAAAAGTACACTTTTTAAATTAAATTACTAAGGAAATACTCTTGAATGCATGCTTTTTAAAGCTATGTCTTACAAAAAACAGATTTCTATAGAGTCACTTATTGGATTTTTTTTTTCTGCCCAAAATATTGCAGGTAGTTACAGAAACTTAGTAACTGAAATTCCAGTTAGTCTCTCATCTAACAATTTACTATAAGAGTAAATACAGTATCATAGAAGACAAGAGCTTCTATATATTGTTGGGGGGGGGAGGGGAGGGGGAAATGAACTGTTATATAATCTTTTCTTACCCAGAAAAATCAGCAGAATATTGTCCATAATCAAAGATATAGACTCTTGTAATTTGGCACATAGTGAGGTATCCCAAAGCAAAAACAAAGCAATATCTGAAAAGGAAAAACAATTATATTTTGTTTAATAACTTAAAAAAAACCTATCAATGAATACATATTGCTCCAGTATTCCAAATTACTTGCAATTTGTGTTTGAATAAAAACATTCATATGTAATCTATTATGGCAGAACAGTTAAGTAGATTCATATTTCATACATTTCTGACAAGAGTTACACAATTTCAAGTTTTAATGCACCAAAATTAAATATGAAGTCTCACAATACCATTCAAAAATTGCTATCCTGTGACAAACATTGGTTCATTTTCCATTTGTGTGCAAATCATACCACATGAAGCATCTACTGTAGCAATTCATTGAGTGTGTGTGTGTGTATTCATATATATACACACATGCAGTTGTAATTCAAATAGCTGTTATAAAACCTCCAAGTTCTGTAACTGTAGGAAGAATTAAGTCATCATTTATCCTTTCCTTTTCATCTCTCATTCTGTTAATTCACAAATCAAACTTCTCAGTGAGATTCCTTGATTTCACTACATTCAAAACCTGAACATTGTATATCCATTGCAGCTGTTCTGGAAGGGATTAGAACAGGCAGTGCCACTAAGAGCTTACAATCTTGATTCTTCAAACCCTGAAACATATACTTCACTGTCTTGAGTAGTCCTATTAGTACGATGGAACTAATCACATGAGTAAAGTTAGACAAATGTCTGCAAGGTCAAGGCTACAGACCCTGACACAGGTTCTGGACAGATGTAGGGGTTTAATTGAAATCAAAATACAGTAGTACACTGCATAAGCAGGAACAAAAGGGAGAGAATAGAAGAACTAGGGCAGCAATTAGATATTAAAGTGTTAGACATTATAGTAAATTCTTAGATAGAATGTACACAGATTACACATGCTAGGTAATAAGGAAAAATGAGTTTAAAATTACACAATGCGCTCTGTAAACTTAAGTTCACAGTCTTGTCTGAAAACATTACCCACTATTATTACAACACGTAAGGCAGGCCTGTACGCAGGAATTTCTGTGGGAAGGGAGGTGCTTTTTTTGTAAACATGGACCCAAGGGTGTGAATAAACCCCCACGGACTCAACAAACCCACAGTCAATGGTACAGGAATCATTAGGCTGTATCTACACTTGGCATTTTCTGGACAAACTTTTGTAATTCACAAGTGCTTAACTCTCCCGTCCCTTCTGAACATTAAAGTTTTGCCACAGCTTAGCTTACACATTCTCTTCTAAAGAGAAGGTTAGAATGTTAACTGCTTTCTTTAACTATCAGGCTGTGTCTATACTGCAGATTTTTGCACACCTCAAGTACGTTTCTGCACAAGAAAATTTACAGTGAATCGACAGAACAGAGGGGTTTTTGCGGTATAGGTATTCCTCTTTCTACGAGAAATTACTCCTTTTTGTACAAGAGTTATTGAGCAAAAAGGCGTGTGTGGACAGGCAGCAGGGGTTTTTGGAAAAAAAAACTACTGAAACAAGCACAGGTGCCTGGTGGCCTTTCTGTTAATGGCAATCAAAGCTTTCTTGCGAGAGAGCATCCATGCAGTCTTGATGCTCTCTTGTGCAAAAGCACATCACTTTTCTGATACACTTTTGCAGTGTGGACACGCGCTTGCACAAGAAGTTTTTGCAGAAGATCTCTTCCACAAAATGCTTCTTACGCAAGAAGCCTGAAGTATAGACATAGACTCAATGTCTACAAATAGACACTAGAGCAGGTGACTTTCTGGCACCACGACCTCAAGGAAGGACCTAATCTCTATCAAAGCTGGTCTCATCACTCCTCACTCCCTTTCCTCTTGATTTCACAAGCCACAAGAGTTGGGAGTTCATCTCACAACTCTCTTATATTAGAGACAAGATGAATGATATAATATCTTTTATTAGACTAACTTCTGTTGGTGAGAGATCACTCTGAATCTGAATTAGCAATACTCATTCTCAAATGAAACCTGCACAGCTCTTTCCAAAAATAAACCTTGTACATTATTTTTTGTCCTGTGACTACAGAGATGTTAATGAATGCTCCCTTAGAATACACCTTGAATACTTAAGCTATACAATCTGTTGTGATGCTCAAAGTATATTTCCTAAACCCAAAGCAGAGCTTCTCATCAACAGGTCCAATAAAAAAAATATTATCTTACCTCAAAACACCTTGCCTCCCCAAAATCCTGAGACTAACACGGTAACAACTACACTGCATACAGTTCTCCTGTATGAAACTCCTATTTTAAAACAAGTAACTAACTATGTCGTAGGGGGGCAAGGGCTGATGCACCTGAGGGTATACTCTATCCAGTTCCTTAAGAAAGCAGTGCACCATAGAGTATACAAAGACAGTCTTACCCTGGGACCCCGAATGGAAAGCCAAGATGGCGGCTATGTGCACTCTGACTGAGGAAGAGGCAAGGCCCTGGATTCTAAGGTCCAGGAGATAATCTAAAATGGAAGGGACGGGGACTTTTGTGGGTGATAAGCCCTTCCCCTCTGTCCACAACACGAAGCATTTCCATTTTGCTAGATAAGTTGCCCTAGTAGAGGGTTTTGGACTCCCCAGTAAAACTGACTGAACTAGCTCTGAGCAATGCCTTTCCAAGGCAGTCAGCCATGGAGCTTCCAAGCCATGAGGTGCAAGGAACAGAGATTTGGGTGGCAAAGCCTGCCAAAGTCCTGAGACATCCAGTCCGGATATAGGGGGAAGGCCACAGGATGCTCCACACAGAGGTCAAGCAAGCCGGGAACCAATGTTGACGAGGCCATGCCACTGCTATCAGGATCAGGGAGGCTTGGAACTCCCTGACCTTGAGTATCATCTTGTAAATCAGAAGAAATAGAGAAAAGGCATTCAACAGAACTGGGGACCAGGGAACTAGCAGGGCATCTCCCAGGGCCCCTGGGCTGCAGTTGAAGAGAAAGCAAAAGCAGTGACACTTTCTGTTGCTGCAAGTTGAAAACAGGTCCAGGTGGAGAAACCCCCACCTGCAGAAGATGTTCAAGGCCACATTCGCTCTGAGGGACCATTCATGACCGTCAAAGGACCTGCTGCATTCTGCACCCCGAGAAGGTAAGAGGCCATTGGGTGAATGGTGTGGGTAATGCAGAATTCCCACAGGAGGAGAGCCTCCTGGCACAGGGGATAGGAGCGAGCTCCACCCTGTCTGTTTATATAGAACATCCCTGCCATGTTGTCTGTCAGGATCAAAACACACCAGTTTTGAAACCGTGGCAGAAAATCATGACAAGCAAGACAAATAAGTCTGTTTCAGCAAAAACAGCCAGGAATCCAGGAGTACCTGTAGTGGGGCAGAGGGAGAGGAGCCCCTAGCAGAGCCCTGGTAGGCAGCACCTGGCCCCAGAATCCCACCTGACTGGAAGCCAGGAGGTGGGACTAAGACTATAAAAAAAAATCTTGAAAGGTCAATATAGCCCCAGCAGCCAGAGGATCCAGAAGCGTCACCTGCACTCCCAAGCAGGGAGCTGACCCTGCAGGAAGCTGAGGACTGTCTGGGCCACCAGGATCCCAGCTGGACTACGACCTGGAGGAACAGTTTGGGGGGCAAAACTGGAGAGCGCAGCAGACTGGCACAGAAGCCAGGTATGTGCCGAGGTTGAAGATAGAAGTAGCCCAGGGACAGGTGCCAGTAGTTTGCCTGAGCAAGGGTCAGCATGTTGCAATGAGGACCCAATACTCTATCCAGTTCCTTAAGAAAGCAGTGCACCATAGAGTATACAAAGACAGTCTTACCCTGGGACCCCGAATGGAAAGCCAAGATGGCGGCTATGTGCACTCTGACTGAGGAAGAGGCAAGGCCCTGGATTCTAAGGTCCAGGAGATAATCTAAAATGGAAGGGACGGGGACTTTTGTGGGTGATAAGCCCTTCCCCTCTGTCCACAACACGAAGCATTTCCATTTTGCTAGATAAGTTGCCCTAGTAGAGGGTTTTGGACTCCCCAGTAAAACTGACTGAACTAGCTCTGAGCAATGCCTTTCCAAGGCAGTCAGCCATGGAGCTTCCAAGCCATGAGGTGCAAGGAACAGAGATTTGGGTGGCAAAGCCTGCCAAAGTCCTGAGACATCCAGTCCGGATATAGGGGGAAGGCCACAGGATGCTCCACACAGAGGTCAAGCAAGCCGGGAACCAATGTTGACGAGGCCATGCCACTGCTATCAGGATCAGGGAGGCTTGGAACTCCCTGACCTTGAGTATCATCTTGTAAATCAGAAGAAATAGAGAAAAGGCATTCAACAGAACTGGGGACCAGGGAACTAGCAGGGCATCTCCCAGGGCCCCTGGGCTGCAGTTGAAGAGAAAGCAAAAGCAGTGACACTTTCTGTTGCTGCAAGTTGAAAACAGGTCCAGGTGGAGAAACCCCCACCTGCAGAAGATGTTCAAGGCCACATTCGCTCTGAGGGACCATTCATGACCGTCAAAGGACCTGCTGCATTCTGCACCCCGAGAAGGTAAGAGGCCATTGGGTGAATGGTGTGGGTAATGCAGAATTCCCACAGGAGGAGAGCCTCCTGGCACAGGGGATAGGAGCGAGCTCCACCCTGTCTGTTTATATAGAACATCCCTGCCATGTTGTCTGTCAGGATCAAAACACACCAGTTTTGAAACCGTGGCAGAAAATCATGACAAGCAAGACAAATAAGTCTGTTTCAGCAAAAACAGCCAGGAATCCAGGAGTACCTGTAGTGGGGCAGAGGGAGAGGAGCCCCTAGCAGAGCCCTGGTAGGCAGCACCTGGCCCCAGAATCCCACCTGACTGGAAGCCAGGAGGTGGGACTAAGACTATAAAAAAAAATCTTGAAAGGTCAATATAGCCCCAGCAGCCAGAGGATCCAGAAGCGTCACCTGCACTCCCAAGCAGGGAGCTGACCCTGCAGGAAGCTGAGGACTGTCTGGGCCACCAGGATCCCAGCTGGACTACGACCTGGAGGAACAGTTTGGGGGGCAAAACTGGAGAGCGCAGCAGACTGGCACAGAAGCCAGGTATGTGCCGAGGTTGAAGATAGAAGTAGCCCAGGGACAGGTGCCAGTAGTTTGCCTGAGCAAGGGTCAGCATGTTGCAATGAGGACCCACACTGACCCAGCAGCAGACTGCTCTGCTGCTGTTAGGGCCCTGGGCTGGAACGCAGTGGAGTGGGGCGGGTCTGTGTCCCCCTTGCTACCCCAATCCTAGGTGGAAGTCTCACCCCTCAGCCACTCTCAGATAACAGCCTACATCTGTTAGACCCCCGCATGAGCAACGGGACCCGAGTGTGGGTGCTGCAACTGGGATCGAAACTGTGAAATGTTTGATAGTTTGTTGCCCTACCCTGAACTAGGGCCTGGGCCTAGTGACTGTTACTGAGAACTGCTGGTTTATTTGCTGCCCCGCCCTGAACCAGAGTCAGGCCTGAGAACTGTTGGTTCCTGACTGCTATCTGTGACTGTGAACTAACATACAGCTAAAGCCAACCACAACTAATTCCCCAAAGAACTGACTGAGTGGGTATTGGGGCAGAATATCTGCCCACTGATGCAAAGCGGGAGGAGCCCCTAGCAGGGCCCTGGTGGGCAGTGCCCTAGTAGGCCACAGTACCCTAAAGACTAGCGATTTTATTATGGCATAAGATGAGAGTGTTACAATCTCTAAGTGCTAATTCAATCAGGGTGGATGTGGATAAGAAGGTGAAAATGCCAATAGTGGAAAATTACTTATGGTAATGAGCAAGCCATTCCAGTCCCTATTCAGATCCATTCTGATGGTGCCAGATTTGCATATGAATTCCAGCTCAGCAGCTTCACATTGCAGCCTGGTTTTAAAGGTTTTTTGTTTTTTCTTGAGAATGGCAACTTCCAAATCTGTAAACTGTGTGTCCAGAGAGGTTAAAATGTTATCCCACTAAGTTTTGTATTTTACCATTCTTTGATATTTGATGTGTCTATTTATTCTATTGCATAGAAACAGTTCAGTATGTCTAATATACATGACAGAGCAGCATTGCTGGCACATAATGACTTACATCACATTAATAGATGTATAGGTGAATAAGCCTTTGATAGCTGATGTGGTTAGGCCTTATAATAGAGATCATTTAGGAATTTGAGGCAAAAATTTGTCGGGGATGGTACTTGGTCCTGCTGTGAAAACAGGGGACTGGACTCAATGACCTTTCAAGGTCCCTTCCAGTTCTAGGAGACAGGCAATCTCTATTAATTTATAAAATTTATGGTGTCCACAGGATAGATGTATGGACAGAGTTAGCAAAAGGGTTTGTTGCAGGGATTAGTTCTTGGGCTAGTGTGTCTGTTGTGGGGTATATGGTTGGTGGTGAGTATGTGTTTCAGGTTGGGAGACTGTCTGTAAGTGAGGAGTGTACTACCTCCCAAGACGTGTGAGAACAAGGGATCATCTAGGGTAGATTATAGTTCCTTGATGATGTGTTGGAAAGGTTTTAGCTGGGGGGCTAAAGGTAATGGCCAGCAGTATTCTGTGGCTTTCTTTGCTGGGTCTGTCCTATAATAGGTGACTTCTAGGTACCGCATGGCTCTTTCAATCTGTTCCTTTGGCATTGGCTACTGTCAGAAGGCAGAATACTGGGATAGATGGACCTTTGGTCTGACCCAGTATGGCCATTTAATGTTCCCTCACTTCCCCAGATGGGTACTATAGTTTTAAGAATGCTTGATAAATACCAACACCTACAGGAGCTGTCTGAGGGATTGGAGCAAATGTGGTTGTATCTTAGGGGCTGGCTGCAGACAATGGATCATGCGATGTGTTCTGGATGGTAGTTGCAGGCATGTAGATAAGCAGGGTTAGTAGATTTCCAGTATATGGCAGTTTTTATGTGACTAACACTTATTTGAGCCATAATGTCCAGGAAGTTGATCTGTTATGTGGAATGATCCAGGGTGAGATTGATGGTGGTGTGGAAATTGTTGAAATCCACTTAGAATTCTTCAAGGGCCTCCTTCCTATGGGTCCAGATGATGAAGAGGTTATCAAATGTAGTGCAAGTAGAGGACGGATACTTGGGGATGAGAGCTGAGGAAGCAATGTTCTAAATCAGCCATAAAAATGTTTGCATTCTGTGAGGAAATATGGGCACATATAGCAGTGCCACTGTCTTGAAGGTATACATCTTCCCAAATCTAAAATGGTTATGGGTGAGAACAGAGTCACACAGCTCAGCAACCTGTTGTGCTGTGATATCATTGGGGATACAGATCCTGACAGCTTGTGGTCTCTCTTTGTGTGGAATGTTGGTATAGAGAGCTTCTACATCTGTAGTTTTAAATAGCTCACTAGAGTTTGGGCCTCCTCCTTTTGGGTAGTGATCAAATACTATGATGCAACTTTCTTGTTTGAATTCTTATACAAGTCTCTTTTAGAGCTCCTTTATTTTAACAATTTAAAAGCCAGTATCAGAAATGTTCTTCACACATTCCGACATTTAAATTAGCTCTTCACACCTGTCCAGATATTTATCATTCAACACAAAGTCCTGATGTCCATCCTTCCATAACTGACCTTTCTCTATTAAAATTACTCCTTGGCTTAGAGTAGGATTTTTCAGAGCTGAACTGTCTGAAGTTTAATTCAATTATGACAAAATTCAACTATGAACTGCAAAGAAAAAATTCAGCCAAAGGACATTCCCCTCATCCCCAACCATGTGAACGTGAAAGCTGCTCTCTCTGCCTCTGTAATCCTTGGGATCAACATATATACTAAAATCATCACTACATATGGAAAAAAAATACAAGTATTAGGTTCCATTCCCCCCTAGATTCATGCAACTGAACTAGTCAGTCCTCATTTCCCCAACCCCCAGAAGGCCTGTTCACCATGGCTGATGCTTGACTGGGGCAGTCACAATTAGTACCAAGCAAGAATGTAGTAATTATAACTTTAGGGGACTAAGGGAGTGCGTTCAGCATCTTATATTTTGATTTCTGTCATGAACACATTGATAATATTATTTCTGTGTGTTGTAACTTCAGAACACCTGAGCCAGATGAGGAGAAAGACGAGAACTCGGGATGACATGCTCAAGGAAACACTGCAAACCTCTGCTTCATCAAAGAATATCAAAGTCTGGAGTATAACCTTTGCAGAAAACCTGGAGAAGGAAAGACTGAAGAGGAGAACAGCCCAGAAGTCCAAGCAGGAAAAGGAAAGGGAGCTCATAATGGGACTTCTGAGACAACAAATAGCAGGCTGTGGTCCTGGTAGACCTGCATATTCAATAACCCCATGCTGTTTCCTAATACCCAGGGAGTTTCATCCCAGTAATTTCAAAGCAAATAGCATACTTACCTGAGGTTCCTTTTCCTGCACTTGGTTCACACATGCTCAAGTGGTGGAAATAGCTGGACTGTAGTAAAGTGAAAACCAGGTCCTGACACACTGCGAGACTGGATTTCCTGTCATTTGTCACCATACTCTTCTTCCTCTTCCTTGTCTACCTCCTCCTCCTTACTGGTTCACAGTAGGGGCCTGTCACTCATGCTCCTTGGAAGAATCCACAGTGGTCTGAGGAGTATTGGTGGAGTCTCTGCCAAGGTCAGCATGCAGCTCTGCTTGGCACAAGATTGACTGTTGGCCTCTCTGATTTCACACAGTACTGATGCTAGTGCCCATTATAGCCCTTCTCCTGCTTTCCCCATGCAATCCGCACGCAGT